GCTGAAGGCAGACGCTTCACCGACTGAGCCACCCAGGCACCCATGGGCCTCAGTTTCTCTCGAGCAACCTGGGGAAATGACGAACTGGTCTTCTACGTGTGGAAGTTTGCTGGTTTCCACTCAGAGATACACAATCTCTTGGTGGCCACCTCAGTCCCGTGCACCTGCCCATAGCTGCACGAGCACGCGGGGACTGGCAGACAGGCAGACAGGCACGCACACCCACCCCTCCATATCCACAGACACGCACGTACCAGTGTCGTACATAAGAAGTACCCACTTATCTGTAACGCGTGCAGAGCCATGTGCCCCACGTTCAAACCCGCACCCGAACATAGAGATAGCCGCAAATGCGCAGGCACACAAGGAGTGAGGTCCCAGACGAAGAGTCGTTGATTTTTTCTTTTTCGGAATGTCCCCAGAGAAACTGACCTTTGTTTTTGGAGGCAGGTTGCTGGCTGCTTTGAAGGCGGAGACAGCATCAGCTTTAGGGGAGCTTCCTGGTTTGGAGGCTTCACCAGGTGGGCCCTGGATGTAAGGCAGTACCAACAATGGCACTTGGGGAAAACCGAGGTCTCCTTCATCTGCCTCACATTCTGGAGACGGGATGTCGCGGGCTTTGCCTCCTGTTGGGCCATACTCGTGAAGGAGGGAAAACCCAGAGCCATCGCTTCCTGGCTGTGTGACCTTGTGTTAATGACTCAACCTCTCTGTGCTTCTGTGCCCTCATCAGTAAAATGGGGGTAAAAAATGGTACTGCTTTTTACTGCAGGGAGTGCCTGGCATACGGCAAACTCCATGTAAGTGTTGGCTGCTCTTCTTGCTGTTGTCTGCTTCTTACGAGAAAGCCCTTGAGTCTGGACATCGCTGGGCCCTTTGGCCTTCGTGGGCCCCTTCCTCCATCAAAAAATACCTAAAAAGCATGTTTTCTGACTGCATAGGAGTAAGGACCAATAAAATCTAAGCTGGTATAATAGAATAGAAGCCCTGATTGTATTCTTTTCCTGCTGATTTTATAAGAAACTGAAAGATTTTCATGGGCCCTAAAGGTATTGTGGGCTCCACACTGCGGCCACAGTGTGGATGTCAGCCCTGGCCGTGACCCCTCCTTATGTCGTGGTATGTGCGACTGAGTGACGGAGTGAGACTTTGGGGAATGTTCTGTGAATCACCGGAGCCTTCTCTGGGCCTCGGAGGTGCCTCTAGCTGTGCCTTGGGGTGGCCAGGGAGAAAACTGTGTTCTCACTGGGAGCAACTGGGCAGAGGCGGGAGCTAGGGCCTGCCCCTGCTGACTTGGCCTTGATGTAGGGAGCCCTGGTCAGGGGATGCCATTACTCCAGTGGTCCAAACTGCCTAAGTTACAGTGCTGATGTGTAGTTGCCTGACCTGATTTGCTGGCCTTGGTAGGTAATCAGAGCTAAAGAAACGCCTTGGGGGGGGCGGGGGTTGGGGTTGTGAATATCTGCAGAGGGGAGCCCCATGGAGTGGATTTCCTGGATTAACTTGTTTAAAGACTTGACTGTTTGGTTTGCCCAGTCTGTGGGGTGCTGACATACTGTGTACCAGAAGCCACCTATCCGTCCGTCCATCCATCCATCCCTTCCTCCCTCCCACATTCGCCGAGCACCTGCCATGCACACCTTGTGCTCGAGCTGGAGCTGCAGAGGCGAGACCCTGCTCAGCACCACTGGAGCTCCCTGCTGGGCAGGGCAGTAAGCGTTCCTCTGAGTGTTCCGGGGCCAAGGGCTGGGAGCCCTGAACGAGAAGAGGTTCGTCCGGGCTGGGAGCTCAGTGGGGTGCGGATTGAGAAAGGATTCCCTCTCGACAGATTCCATGTCCAAAATGAACTCGAGGACTTGAGGGTGTGAGAATGCTGGAATCCCCATTCTCATCCCCTTGAACTCTGTGCTTTCTAGGACCCAGAGAGGGGCCTCCCAGGGCCTGGGCTGCAGAGTCTCCCAGACACTCAGGGCCAGACTCTCCTGGAAAAATAATCAAGGGTGAGTTGGCAGAGGCTGAGCTGCTGGAGGGGGGACCTCAGGAGAAGCGGTGCCAAGGTTGGGAGCGCAGGGGTGGTGAGAGCCTGAGAAACAGGGCAGGTGCTACTGACTGGGGCCCATAGTTTCTAATGGCTGGGGCCGGACTCTCAGGTGGCATCTGTTTCTTGGGTGAGGGCCACTAAGGGTCCAGCAGGGGTGGGAGGGGGGAGAGGCCGAAAGTGTTTCTCCTTAGAACCAAATGGAAGTATTGGGGGTTCAGAGGAGGCCTGGGGGCTCACTGAGGGGTTTCTGTGTTTGGCAATGGGGGCCCAGAGGATGGGACCTGGAGGGGATCAAGGAACTATATACTTTCCCACTCTCAGGCCCTGAGTCACCCCGGGCCTCTTCATTCTGCAGCCTGATCCCCCTGTTGGGGTGGGGCTCTTGGGCAGGCCGAGGCTGAGGGCCCCCTCCCGGCTGAGACCTGTTGGTGTGGTGGAGGGTCCTGGCGTGGGACAGTTGGCTGGTCTCTCACATCCCGAGGGCCCGAGGCCCACATCCATCACGGGCCAGCTGGAAGGCAGGGCTCGAGAGCTTGAATTTTAGTCCTTCCCAGTCAGGGTTCTCTACCCCTTTGTTCTAAGACCCTCTGAGCTTGGACGTCAGGGGTTCTGATGTTCTTCCCTTGGGGAAGGGGCACCGAAAGACAGCGCTGAACCTAACATGCTGTGTTCATGATGGTGGCATCTTTGGCATTGGGCGGCTTGTGCGGGTGGCCTTCCCCAGGAAACCCACTCCAAGGACCGGCAGGTGAGGGAGCCTGGGGCTGCTACAGTACCAGCCACGTCCACCTGGGGGCAGCAATGCTCAGCTGAATCCCACACTCCCACACCCCAACTCAAGTTGCACCCCCTACCTGGAAACTGCAGGGCTGGGAAGACCCTAGAGACCTTAGCCCACCTTCACTTTGAACAGACCTGTGGGAGCCTGTGACCCAATAGGAGCTTGATCTGTCCAATGCCACATGGGGAGCACCCTGGATCTTTCCTCATCATGCTACCACCCCAGCCTGTCTTGTGTGTGTGTGTGTATTGGGGGGGTGGAGGCTTGGGGTGTGTCTGCATGGGGGAGAATCTTGGGGGGCTCTTGGGTGCATCTATCTAGAACGCCCACAGTGGTCGTACCACTTCCGGTGCATGCCCTCATCTGAACTTGCCTGGCGGGTGAGCGGATGGGGAGGGGGACCGGCTGCGGGCTGAGGGCCTGGGTCTGCATCCTGGCCCCCCCGCCCCCAGCCCTGTCTGTCTCCTCCCAGCCCGTGTGCCTCTGGGAGACTTTCTGGGAAGCAAAACAGCACCCCTCATGGGCTGGTTGTGAGGATTACCTAAGTAAATGTATGTAAAGCGCTTAGAGTAGCCCCTAGTGAGAGGGGGTGGGCATCATGCTCAGCCTCCCCCCTTAGGAAAAGGCTCCTCCTGGGGCCTCTGACAGGACACGGGAGCCACCTGAACAAATGCTGCCCCAGCACCAGGTGGCCTTGCCCCCTTCCTCCCTCTCCCAGCCCCTCCCCTCCTCTACCAACCAACAAGAACCACACACACATAAGAATATAGACTTTTATCTTATTTTAGTTAAAAAAAATAATTGTACCACCAAATGAAGAAGTAGCTTTCTTTGGGGGAAAGTGAGAAGGGGGGGGAAGCAATAAGCCAAAGAAAAAGAACTTTTTATATTCATCTGTATAAACATCCGCTAAGGCAAACGCAATCCAGGGCCAAGGCTGCCGCACTAGGGTCAGTACCTCCTAATTTCTGCAGATTCTAAGGCCAAAAAAATAAAACCTCTGCAAATCCAACAGGAGTTTTGTGGACTCTTGGGGCATCTTACTAAAATAAAGAGTTATCAAGTTTACAAAGCAGTGACGTCATGACACACACCGAAAGTTGCATAACAGTGGCCTTGAGGGCCACTCACTGGTTTGGACTGGGTGACGGGCACAGTTTCACGACACGGCAACGGACACAGACGCGCACACACATGGACACGCACGCACGGAAGTGAGCACAGTGGGAGCTGCGTGGGACCAGGCTGGTGGCACAGGCTTGGCCGCCGCCCGTCTGCGGATGGGCACAGGGAGGGCTGGGTCCCCATGCTTCCTCGGGGAGGGGGGGGTGACGGGACAAGTCCCGTCGCTGGTGACAAGGCGGTGCCCATCACTTGGGGGAAGGATGGTGCGAAGGGGCCACGCAAGGCCCCTGCTCCCCACCGCCTGGTCCGAGCAAGCCACTTAAAGCACTTCTTGGACGGGTCCCAGAGAATGGAGCCGGGCGCTGGTTTCCTTCCCTGTGAAGGGGCCAATCCCTCCTCCCCACCCTGCTCTCTCCCGAGCCCCTGGGACCCTCGGGTGGTTCCAGGGAGACTGCGGAGTGGCCTTTCTGCCCCCGGAGCCTTCCCTGCCCATGATCCATGGCACGGGCGGCAGAGCGTGGGCCCGTGAGGTAGATCAGCACAGCTGCCCCCTCCCCTGCCTGGCTGGGGCCTCTGTGTGGACATGGGGTGCCCGGGCCTGGGTCCCTCTGCCTAAACAGAAGCTCCCCTCCCCTCCAGCAGAGAGAGGAGGCAGGGCTGGAGGAACAGTCGTCAGGCGTGGGGAGCCCCCGTGCCTCTGCTTAGCCCCTTCAGTCCTACTACAGAGCTGGAGCCTGCCACATTCCTGCCATCCATCCTCCCCGGACTGGGAAGCGGCTTGAGGGCCCCATGGGCCACGCGGTCTGCAGGTTAAGGGCAAGGGGCCGCTGGGCAGGGAGGAGGAGAGTGTATGGAGGGCAGGCACCCGGGGCAGCGAGTCCCCCAGGCCCAGGAGCTGGGCTCGGAGCTGCGGCAGAGCTGGAGCAGGCAGGGGGCGGCCAGGGGCGAGAGACACACCGGGGTCGCCAGGGAGGGCTGGGCCAGGCAAGGAGTCAGCACAGGTGGCCCAGCCTCAGGAAGAGCGGGGCGGGGGGGGGAGGGGGGTGGGCCACCTGGGACACCCCTCAGCTGGCTCCATTCACAGACTTGGGAGGTTTTCCGTATGGTTCCTTCAGACAGAGCCCAGGATTCAGGCTCGGCCTCCAGTCTGCCCACCCCTGCTGGCTGGACTGGGCGCTGGGGCCGGGGCCAAGCGGTCAGGCCGCAGCTCCCTGCTACTTGAAGGTGGACTGCAGCTCCTTGAAGGCTGCCTTCCGCTGCTTCATCTCCTCCGCCTGCTTCTTCCTCTCCTCCTGCTCCGCCTTGATCTCCTCCTCAAAGCGGCTGGACACATTGATGGCCTGGACCTGCAGTGGAGTCGGGGTGACGGGGGTTAGGGCGGGAGGGGCGTCTGCGCCTCCACCGTGGGCTCTCGGGCCCTCGGTCCTGGGCCCTCCCCCCTGCCAGCCCACGGACCGCTCTGCCTCTCGCTAGCACTGGCCCGGGGCCTTCACTGACCTCTCTGAGCCTCAGTTTCCCATTCAGAGCCTGAATAGCTCAATAACTGACTCGCGGATTCATTAAGGGGATTGGAAGCTAGAACATATATTTGGTGGTTGCTGCCTAGCGTGAGTCCCATAAGTGGGAGCTTTGGTGTTGCTCTTTTTTTTTTTTTTTAATTTTTATTATTTATTTTGGGGGCGTGGAGAGCACAAGTTGGAGGGAGGAGAATAGGGAGAGGGAGAAGCAGACTCTCCACTAAGCAAGAAGCCGGACACAGGGCTCGATCCCAGGACCCCGAGATCATGACCTGGGCCAAAGGCAGATGCTTAACTGACTGGGCCCAGGGCCCAGGCGCCCCCTGAAGTTGCTATTCTTATCCTGCTTCCCGTCCTGGGAAGCCGAGATGCATACCAGGTCCCACTGATGAACCCTGGAACATCCCATCAACCCCAGAAGCCCAGAGGGAGGTGGGAGGCGGCCTTCAGAAGCAATGTTCTTAGTTAACACGGGGAGACGGAGAAAGAAGGAAAAGAAGGTGCCCCACGAGGTCAGAATCTAGGAGCTGTATTTGTCCCCTCCATCTAAGTGCGTGCGGCACTGGGAGGCTGCTGTGTACGTGGGCGCCTCTGGGGCCCATACTCTCTCCAGGCCGGGGCTGGCAGGGCTGGGGTCTCTGAAAGGCCCACGAGCCAGTGCCCCGTGTTTCTGGGCCTGCTCTGCCATCTCCTGGGCCCACCTTTCAAGGACTAGTCCTTCGGGGGTAGTGGTTCTGTGGGCTAGAGAGAGAGAGGGGAAGCTGGAAGGGATCCCAGCCTGATGGAAGGGGACAGAAGCCAGGAGCGCTGTGGGCCTTGCCCAGGCCGGCCCTTGCGTCAGCGCCCTGTTTCCTCCGTGCGGCCTCAGCAGGAACACGAAGGGTGAGCACTGACCCTGGAGCTAACTCAGGGTCCTGTCCTCCCCCTGGGCACCCTCGTCCTTGAGCGCCCCCCACCCTGGGCTCCACACAGCCTCTGGTTCCTCACCTTGGCCTCAAAGAAGCTCTTGGCCCCCTTGACGCCCTCGGTGGAGACATCGATCTCGGAGAGGCGGGCGAGCACGTGCAGCCCGCTGTCCTCCTGCAGCTCCCCAGCCGCTGCCTTGCGGAAAATCAGGAGGAACTAGGGTAGGGAGAAAAGCACGTTGTCAGGGAGGGGCAAGGGGCCAGAGGTCTGGGCTCTCTCCTGCCATGCTCTGGGCCTCGGTGTGCCCGTCTGTACAATGGGAAGCAAGGTGACCCATCTCCCGCTCTCCCAGGATCCGGGGCTGCTGCAGGCCTGCGTGCCCATGCTCGGCTGCCCGGAAGAGCCCCAACCTACCTTGTGTCTTTGTCTCCACTGTTCCCCCAACCAATTTACTGAGTTCTCAAGGTAAAGGATTGTGCCCATTTTACAGACTGTGGAAGACTCAGAGACAACCTGCCCCGAATCTCAGCTGCAGAAAGTGACGGCAGAAGGGTCTGAACCCACATCCTGACTCCACACCATCATCGTGCACGGCCTGCACCTTCCTCCGTGGACGCGTCCTCCCCACCACCTTTCCCTTGCTCTGCCTCCTCTAGGCTTCTTGCTGGTTCGCTGTCATTCACCCGAGGCTGCCTGGGGTCCACTACCGTTGTTTTCTGGCTGTGAGCCTCCATTTCCTCCTCCACAGAACAGGCTTGCTCATGGCTTCTGCCCCAGAGTGAGGACGGACTGAACCCCCGAGTGTGAAGTCACCCAGCGCAGAGCCTGGCCCCTCTTGGACGCAGTGCATGTCACCCCCTCCCCCCGCCCCCCATCTCCTGGGTCACAGCACTCTGCCATTTCGCTCTCTGGGCATCTCCCCCTCTACACTCCAGGACCCTAGGAGCACAGGGCTTTCCTCTGGATTCCCAAAGCTCCCAGCCAGGGTCAGGTATACAAAAGTCACTAAATGCTGACCATGTGAAGGAATGGACATCCCTCCCTCCTCACTCGAGGCAGCTCAGAGACCCCCACGGGGAGCGGGCTCACCTCCCGGAAGCTGAGCTTGCTGTCAAAATCCTCATCCACCTCCTTGATCATGTTTTTCAGGCCCAGGTGGGTCTGTGGGGCTCCGAGCTTCTCCATCATCAGCTTCAGCTCCATCAGGTCAATGAAGCCGTCCCGGCCAGCGTCGTACCTGTGGGAGCAAAGGCAGAGGCTAAGGACATCCTGACGCCCCACACTTGATGGGTTGGAGCACCACGGGCTGGACTGCGAGGAGCCTGTCACCCTGTTGCTGCTAGAAGGGGCTTCAGTCCACGTGAAGTCCCGAGGCGTGGCTACTGCTTGGTTATCTCTGATGACAAGCAACTCCCCACATGGCCTGCGGCCTCTGACATGTGGAACAGCGCTAACTTTTGGGCCAGCGCGATGCGTAAGGAAGCTGAAACCACAGCCTGCCTGTACTGAGCGGGACGGGAGCAGCAGAGAGAAAGAATTCACGACACACGGGGTACGGCTTGCAGGGGCGGGGCGGGGGGGCGGCGACCCTGATGTTATCTCCAGGGCCAGCCTGGCATCCCTACCGGCCCCATTGTTCCCCTACTCCTGCCTCCACCCAGGAGAGAGGCAGAAAGTAGCACGTGTCACAGGGCGGGGCCTCAGGAGGGAGGCCCCAGGAGGGAGGTCCTCTTGTAGCTTGCTGGGAGGTGGCCCAGGGCAAATTCAGGGAACAGTTTGCATAGGGTGTGCCCGCTGTGAGTGGGAGGGGGCGTATGGCTGGAAAGGGCTGGGACGCTGATTAGGTGATAAATGTGTGTCTGGACACTGCAGGTCTGTTTTCTGCCACCAACGGCCCAGCAGACATGGGGACAGTGTGTGTGCGTGTGTTGGGGGGGGGGTTGTCTAAATGTCCCTCTCGCGGGCCTCCTTGTGGTAAGAGCTTGGGTCAGAGGTGGCCTCCGGGCCCGTTCCCCCGGTTGGGGAAGTGCTGTGCTGCAGAGCACGTCATATCACGACGGATGTGGGCCCTCTTATCAGGCTAACCAAACACCTGCCCTGAATGCCTCTTGGTGAGAGGTGGGAAGCGTGCTCTCAGGGCTAAAATGGGCTTTCTGAGCTGAGAGAAGCCTGCGTAGCCCCAGGCCTCAAGCTGCCTGGGTGTGTTGGTAACAACAGAGCAACACAGAGGGGCTGAGCTGCAGAAACCTGTGTCCTGGTCTTGGCGTTCCTGCATAAACACACCTCGTTTCTGTGCCTTCCTCAGGGCTCCCCAGGTCCCTTCCCCCAGCCCTAGTTATATATAAGCTCCGCATGACCTTGAGCAACTAATAGAAACCACTTTTTGAAATCTGTCTTTGTGCCAGGGAACTTTACATATTTTATTGTACCTAATCCCCGCAATAACCTTATATAATGGAGGCTCAGAGAGGTTAAGTGACCTGCCCAAGGTCACAGAGCAGTAAAGGAAGGGGGCGGAAGCCCAGCTCCTCAGCCTGCACATCTGCTCTGTGTCAGCCCGCTTCCAGGGGTCCTGGTGGTGCCCGCAGCACAGAGCCGTCTGCCTGGAGCACTGAGCAGTTGGTGTGCGGGGTATAAATAGCTCACGAACGAGTCAGTGGTTGGAAGTGACGGCCTGGGGCAGCATGGGGAAGACGGGGTTCTGGGAACCCTGCAGCGACCACGGTCCTGAAGCCCTTTTCCCCACAGGGCTGGGGGCAAGGGGGAAGGGAGACAGGGCAGATGGGCCAGAGGTCCCTGGGGGCAGTGCCATGGCTGGGGTGGGAGCTGGCGTGAGGTGTGGGAGAGGGCTGTGGGCCTTGGGAGGGCCAGGCAGGCCTACGATCCCATGCTCCAGGCTCCCCTTCAAGCTGGAGGGGCCCTGGGGTGGGGGGGGGCATGGCAGAGCCCCCTCCTTTCCCCTTTGGAGTCTGGGAAGGGGGCTGGGCGGCTGCGGCGTGACCCCGAGTGACAGGTTGTGGAGCGGCCCTGGCCCTGCGGGGAGCAGCCTGGTGAGGGGGGCCGGTCCTTCCTGGGGCAAGCCACGTGGGCGCCGCCCTTCAGGGAAACCCCGCTGCCTTCTGAAGGGCCGTGGAAGTCAGCGATGACATGTCAGGGCTGGCGCAGACCGCCTGGGTTCTGGGGGCCCCTGCCCCGTGAGCCTCCAGCCGAGGTGTGATGGTGACGCTCTCGCAGGGTCGGCGTGAGGACTGACCGAGCTCCTGCGCGGCACGCACTTAGCCCAGGGCCTGGCACACGGAGCGGACTCCAGAAATGGAGTGTGGCCATCACCAGAGTGAGAACTAGTTGCCTCTAGGAAGCGCCTACTGTGTGCCGGGCAGTTTTTTCTTTACAACTTCTGCGCTCAGCAACCCTGGGAGGACTACCTCCCCCGGTGACTGACCAGGGAACAAGGTCAGTAGGGGTGAAGGCGCCGGCCCACCGGCCAGGGACTCACCCCCATCCCTGGGGTGGCTGGTTCCACCCTCTACTCTGCTGTCCCACCTGCCTCTCCAGAGCCCCAGCTTTATTTACTGCTCAGGTATATGGGTTTCTTCCGCAGCTGGGGGTGGCTCAGTTTCAGAGGAAGTGCAGATAAGGTGTCCGAACTTGGACACAGACTTTGGCTCCGTATTTGTTGGTCTCTGGCAACTCCCAGGCCTGGCTGGGCTGCAGCTTTATCTGCGGCTTGAACTGCTGCCTGCATCAATCAAAGGTCAATTACCGGGTCTGGGCTCTCTCCTGGGCGTGCTCTGGCCCCCAGGGGGACGGTGCAGGGTCTGGTCACAGCGCCATCAGATCAGTTGCCAAGGGGAGGCGACAGAGGTCAGGAAGAGGCTGGGGTGGGAGTTGGGTCCCCCAAAGGAGGAGACACTGCGGGGGTGGGGGGGGAGGCCGTGAACCACAAGGCTCCTGAGGAGCAAGCATCTACTCTGTGCCCTGGGCTCGGGGCCACTGGATCAGCCAAGTCCCTAGGGTGACTGAAGATGACCCTGCAGGTTCTGTCACATCAGCTCTGCTGAGACTGACTGGGGTCCAAACCCCAGATCTGCCACTTGGCTGGCTGGCTGATCCTGGTCAAGTCACCTGAGCCCACAAACCCCAGTGTTCCCCATTTACATCGTGGGGGTCAAAGGACCCATCTTAGGATGGAGGCAAAAATTAAAAGAGACAAGCCACGTCAGTTCCTAGCACAGAGCCTGGCCCACGGTAAGCACTTAATGGGCACACATGGACAATAACGCCAACCGTAATAATAATAAATAGAAGCATTATCACTACCTACCTTTAAGATTAAAGATTAAATGAGATGATGAACATAAAATGCCTAGTACATAACGGGTACTTAAAGCCTGCTAATTGCATTATAATCGTGGCCACTGAGCAGTTTGTGCCACACAGTACGTTAAGTACTTTGCACATAAAACGTAAAATGGTGCTGATAAGAATGATGATGGTAAAAAACACAAGGGCCTCTCCCTTGGGCGCCAGTCCTGATGGTGCACGGCTGCGAGAAACACTCGCTCTAGACTGGTCTGGAGGCAGGGGGTGGGCAAGATGATCCAGCGCTGCCCCCCGGCATCTCCCCTTCCTCCGAGGCTCCCACTACTTCCCCCACTGGGCCTGATTCAAAGACCCCACCACTTGGGGAGGTAGAAAGACAGCAGGACAGAGCCTTTTGCTCTCTTGCTGGGCAGAGGGAGAAAGAAGCGTCAGCCCTGGATTACTCTGTCCCCTTCTCTCATGGGAAGGAAGTGACAAGGTAAGGGGGGGGACTGTCACCGTGCCACCAGCAGTGGATGACTGGCAACACAGGAGATGCCCCTGGCTGGGGAGACCCTCTCATCCATCAGCTCTCTCCCTGAGCTGTAACTGAGGGTGCAGGTGGCTCAGGGGGACCAGGGAAAGCGAGTCAGGGCACAGGATCTGTCTGCACAGCCTGGTCTACCTGCTTTATGTTATGTGGGGGAGGCAAACTGGGGCCCAGAGTAGGCAGCGACCAACCTTGGGGTCACACAGCCGGTGAACTGCAGGATCCCCAAAGCTGGAGGCGTTCCTTCTTCCTGCCTGTCTGCTTCCCTCTTCTTCCTGGTCCCATGGAGGGTCCTGAATTCTCAAGCCTGTAGGGCTGGGGGAGGGGCGGGGCGTTGGGTTGAGAGCCCGGCCTGGGGCCTGCCTGGGAGGGCCAACTGCATCAAAACTCACAGGCTGGGAGCTCAGCACTTTTCTCCAGCACTGGAGGGAGGCTGTTGCACCTGGCACTGTGCCCACATTCCTACCCGCCTCCCCCTGAATAGTCCTCAACAGGCAGGGCTCGGCAGCTGCCGGCCTGGATGCCGGTGACAAAATCCCTCCCATCTGCCCTGGAGAGTGGAACAGCCGGCCACCACCCAGGCAGACTTTGCCCCTTTGGGCCGAGCAGGTCCCACCCAGCTGGCTACTCCTCCCCCACCTTGGTTCTGATAACCAGGAGTCGTGGGGGGTGGGCAGGGGCTGGCTCCTACCATGTCCATATCAACACCCTGTTTCGTAACAGTATTATCCTTAGTGGCTACTCTTTGCTGAGCACTTATTATGTGCCAGGCACTATGCCAAGTATTCTGCATCAGACCCTCAAAAGAACCCTGTGAAGCAGGCATAAATATCCCCACCTGACAGATGAGGAGATGGAGGCTCAGGGAGGAAGTGACTTGGCCAAGGCCATAGCTGACAAGGACAAAGCTGGGATCTGGACCCAGACCTGCTGAAACACACATGCTTTTAACTCCTATGCTGTGTCCTGATGCCCACAGACCCTGTACTAGAGATTCTCAGGTTGGGAGGGATATTGGAGGCCACTTGTTCAGCCATCCGTGAAGGTCAGATTCCCAAGGCAGTTTTCCTGCTTGTGTCTTGAATGCCTCTGAGCACAGGAAGCTCACTGCTTCACTTAAGGCAGCCCATGTTGGCTTTGGAATTATTAGAAGGTTGTTCCTTTTTTTTTTTTTAACATAGGGGGTGGGGGGATGGGTTAGCCCGGTGATGGGTATTAAGGAGGGCACATTCTGCAAGGAGCACTGGGTGTTATACGCAAACAATGAATCGTGGAACACTACATCAAAAACTAATGATGTAATGTATGCTGATTAACATAATAAAAAAAAAGAAATTAAAAAAAAAAGAAGGTTGTTCCTCGTGCATGAGCCTCCCCACCTACCA